GTGGGTTCCTGACCGACCAGTCCAATCTGACTTCGCAGCCAGTTGAGGTTGAGCTCTTTCGTGTCAACCCCGTCCAGCAATACTTGGCCTTCAACTGGGTCGTAGAACCTCTCAATAAGAGAGACACACGTGCTCTTGCCTCCACCACTGGGTCCACAGAAGGCGACGGTCTGTCCAGCTTCAATGGTGAGGTTGTAGTTCTTGAGTACTGTAATTTCTGGTCTGGTCGGGTATCTGAAAGTGACGTTCTGGAAGTCAATTCTTCCTTCGAGTTGAGCTGGTCGAAGTCCCTTCTCATCGAAAGAATCAATGGGAGGTTCTCGATCTCGGAGATTCACAATAGCCTTCCCAGCTTTCAACGCGTGATCCGAGTCGGCCACGAATGTAGACGCCATACCAATGCCTTGTGCGGACATCATGATAGCCATAAGAGTCCGCATCAACTCCTTGAACGTGATATCCCCGTCATCCACCAGCTTTCCGCCGTACCAAAATGCGAGCGCGTATGCTGCGAAGAGAACGAATGATCCAAACCCGAGCGCAAAGCCATTCACGTGCGCTTCTCTACGTCCACGAGTCAAAGGCTCTTCAAGCAAATCCGAGAGTTTACCGGTAAGGGATTCCTCTAATCCCAGAGAAGCCACTGTACGGATGTTACTCAGCGCTTCTGAAGCTTGAGCACCGACACCGGAAAGCTCATCAGATAACCCTCCTGCAGTCTTCATGTGCTTCCCACGAGCAGCCTGGCCCATGATGAGGAACGGGAACACTGCGAGCATGACCAGAGTCAATAACCAGCTTCCGAACGCGAACGAGACCACAAGAGCGGCTGCAAACGTGAAGATCACTTGCACGACGCGACCTTGCGAGTCACCGGAGATAAGAGCGACTTTCGTTGCGTTTGTGGACAGGTCAGCAGTTAAAGCACCCGTGGCGTTCTTCTTCTCATCAAAGAATCCGATATTTTGTCGACAAAGTGCAGTGAAGTGGATGTTCCGGAGTCGAGAAGTGAGTTTTTCAGCCATGTACTTGAAGGCGTAGTTCTGGACGAAGGCGCTGAGAAAGACCACGACCGCGCCAGCGATGTAGCAGAGGCCATACACCATCACGTCGTGCTTGAGATCATCGAGTGCAGATTGATCGTGCGAAGTCTGGTACTCGCTGTACTTGGTAGTCATGACCGCCACTAGCTCACTGATAAGCACAGCTGAAACAGGTAATGCGCAGCCCAAGATGCCAGACGCGATGATCCCAACGATAAACGTTTTCCGTTCCGGACGACTGAATGCGATCGCGTCGAAAATTGTGAACTTGGACATAGTTTCGGCTGCCTGAGACTCAACCTCGCAGTTGGTGAAGCCAGCATCATCGTTAACAGAACGGCTACTAACACGTCGTGGTAGGCCCCGTTGGATGTCTTCATCGTTGACTGATGTTGTCACTGCTTCAGCCTCCTCTTGAGCTTTCTCTTCTTGGATTGTGTACAACTTGTTGTAGATTCCATCCTCAATTGTCA